AAAATGAATAACTCATACACTAACAATTCCTTATCAATTATATTATTCAATGCAAACGGTCTAAAAAATCACGTCAATCAACTGCAGAGTGTTCTATTCGATAAACGCATCGATATCGCTCTAATCTCCGAAACCCATTTCACTGAGTATTCTTACATATCTATTCCTGGTTATAGACTAATCAAATCTAACCATCCAGACGGCACAGGTCATGGCGGAGCAGCCATACTCATTAAATCTAATCTTAATTACTACCCACTCGCCAACTACTCTCAAAATCATTTCCAATCATGTGCCATCTCAATTACAATTAATAATATTCCTGTTACTATCGCCGCAATCTATAGTCCAACTAGACATAATCTAACTATTGACAACCTTACCAACTTTTTTGACTCAACGACCAATAGCTTTATTATTGGTGGTAATTATAACGCGAAACACCAAAGCTGGGGTTGCTGAGTCACCAACCCTCGCGGAAACTTGCTCTACAATTTCACCAATACAAAAATATACAAAATTCTTGCTCCCCTGGGCCAACATATTGGCCAACCTCAGTTAGGAAAAAACCTGACATTCTGGAAATCTTTGTCACAAAAATTCCTAGCAATTTATACTATTCAATTAATAATATTCTGGATCTTAACTCCGGTCATTCCTCCGTCATTCTCAATATTGATGCCACTCCGCAAACTCGCACTCTTAGTCCTAAACTATTTACGGCAGCAACTGATCGTCTTAAATTTCATAACATCATAGCCGATGAAATTAACCTAAAAATAAGCTTAAAATCTACCCAGGAGATTGACGATGCAGTTGACAATTTAACAACCCTTATTCAATCAGCGGCTTTTAAATCAAACACCCTAAACACCACCACGAACTCAGCTCATAAACACCCTTTTGTTTTTGAACAAGTCCGCTCATTAATAGTCGAAAAGCGTAGAGCAAGAGCACGTTACCAAACTACGCGGTTACCCTCACATAAAAGTGCATATAATAAATTAGCTAATTCGTTAAAAAAATGTTTAGCCAAAAATAAAGCTGACATGTTCGAACAAAAACTGACCTCACTCTTCTCTGTAGATGGGAGCTTGTGGCGCGAAATCAAAAAACTACTTCAATATAAACGCCCATCAGTTCCACTCAAAAAACCAGATAATTCATTTGCCTTCTCTGACAACAATAAGGCCGAAGTTTTTAAGGCTCATCTTTACGAAACATTTCAATCAAATCATGATATACTTACACCTGAACACATTGATGAGGTAAACACCTACCTAAACCTACTATCTTCAACAAATCGACCAGAAAAATATTTCACCCCGAATGAAGTCAAACAGACCATCCAAAAATACTCACTAAAAAAGTCACCCTGCTTTGATCTGATTACAGCCGAAGTAGTTAGGTGCCTTCCCAAAAAATCCATAGTATTAATAACATATATTTTTAATGCTATTCTAAGACTTTCATATTTTCCGTTGTTATGGAAATCCTCCAAAATAGTTCTGTATCCTAAGCCTGACAAACCACTCGATACCCCTACGTCATTCAGACCAATAAGTCTCTTGCCTTTCCTTTCAAAAGTGTTAGAAAGACTTATTCTAAGACGTATTATCCCACATATTATCACTAACAACATACTTCCGAATACCCAGTTCGGCTTCCGAAACTCACATAGCACGATACATCAATTACATCGTGTTGTTGATGTTATTTCTACATCCCTTGAAAAAAAGCTTTATTGCTCTTGTATTTTTCTAGACACTGCATAAGCCTTCGACCGGGTTTGGCATGAAGGCCTCCAATTCAAACTTAAAAAATTTCTTTCCCCCTCACTTTACCTATTAATTAAATCTTATTTAACTGATAGGCATTTCCAATTTAATTCGTCGATATCAGAAATCGCACCAATCAAAGCGGGTGTACCTCAAGGTGGTATACTTTCCCCTTTTCTGTTTAACATTTACGTAGCTGACCAACCTACCATGCAACAAACCATCGTAGCGGATTATGCCGATGACAAAGTTATCTTATCCATCAATGAAGATTCTTTAATCGCCTTATCAAACCTTCAAGTACATCTTAACCACTTGTCTGAATGGTACAAAAAATGGCGAGTGAAAATTAACCAAAACAAATCTACACACACAACATTCACACTTAAACAAGGAATTTGTCCAAACATTACTCTCAACAATGTATTAATTCCCACATTTGATACAGTTAAATATTTAGGATTATTCTTTGATAAAAGACTTACATGGAAGAAACACCTCCAAACCAAATGGCTAACCTTAAACAATCGCATGCGCATGCTCAGACCTTTACTAATTAGAAATAAGAACTCCACTCTAAACACCAAGCTAACAATCTACAAAGCGTTACTAAACAACATTTATTATTTACTATTTATGTTATTGAAATATTGGATTAATTGTGGTAAGAACTTTTATTTAGTTTTATACCAGTTACGTTATGAGAACAATTTTTATGATAAATCTTAATAATCTATTTTAGTGTTGAACAACCTGGGGGTCGTCAAATTTTATTAGGGGATCACCAATAATTTAATACAAAATTAAAAATGTACGAGTATATCTAATATATTATTTTATATAACATACATTTATATTTTAAATTAATTAAATTAAAGATATGTTAAAATTTCCTAAAATGAACGATTTAATTTACACGAATATAATTGTTGTATACATTAATTAAGTTATATATTAGATACTTACATAACATTTGTAGAAAAAGAGGTAGGAGATCAGGCAGTAAATTTAGGGTTGTGGATCAAAAAAGATTGAGCACCGCTGGTTTATTTGATAATTAATGGAATGTAAAATAAAATTTAACCTGAGTAATTGATATTGATACTTTATATTATAGTATTATATTATTATATTATTCGTTAGAACAATATTAATTATAAACTAAACGGTTTTTGACTACGTTTCACTATGATACTTCTGGTTCGGATGAATTGATGATTGAAAATTTCCTAACCAATTAATGGTGTCTGATAAAGCCTGAGTCTAGAAACATTATATGATTAGAGTCATTTGTCACCTTATCAGATCAGGGAGAACTGTTAAAATAAATACGGGAAACGGAGAAACACTGACGTACTTTGGCAATCACATAAGATTCATCTGTGGGTAGGACTTTACGATAATACATTTTAGCGGATACGTATTCTGCAGCAAACCACACCAAAATATGTTACATGTTTCATTCTGAAATAAGCCACTTCTAAAGTGTTAGACCGATAAGATGACAGTTGCTTGGCTATTGGCTTATAATAAAAATTATATATTTACGGAAAAACAAAAACACCAGAAATATACATTATAACATTATATATATGTCATTATCTATTGTATTTAAAACTACATGAAGAGCGCAAACATTGCTTTCAATAGTTGTATTGAACTTGATATTAGAGAGCCATTAATTATAATTAGAAAAGCGTAAAAATGATAACCCTAGTAAGTAGTCGACATCTAACTATTGTACTTTTATAATGTTAATTAGAAGAAAAATATTAATCTAAATTGAACAATGAAGACATATTTTTGTTATTTGTTATTTAATTTAGACTCGTATAATTATTACATACTATTAATTACATTAATAAAATACATAATTAGGTCAATAATAAATAACTTTAATTTTTCATTGTGTGAATAATTAAATTTTTTCTTGAAACAAGGTAAATTTGAAAAATTGGTAATTATCAAAATGTTATTTACTTATAAAATTTAAATACCAATTTGTAATCAAAAGACCTGGATCAAAATGCAAACAAATTGATAAATATATTTAATCTGTATTATATTATTGGTTATTTTTTTTACCATTTATATATTTTATAAAAAATTAGAGCTTCATTTTCTATGTATAATGTATTCTCCAGGTAAAAATGTTTTCATGACTCATATACATTTATATAAATATTGACTTAATTTACTTATGCATACTACAAATATAGCTACTTAAAATCTATACATTAATTAATATATTGCAACTTTTTTTTAATTTAACTCTTAATCATACATTATAAGCAGGCCCATATTTAAAAATTTGGCGCCCCCGGGCATATAATTTATGCCCCCACCTCAAATAAATAATAATATAACACTTATAACTTTCGTCCATAATCGAGATTCTTTAATATTAAAATATAACTTATAAATGAAAATCGTTTAATTATTTTTACTTTTTTTAATTAATAAATTATAATATAATAAAAATACAATTTTTTTTTTAATTTACAAATTATAACATAATAAAACATACTATTTTATTTTTTTTACTGTTTTATTTTTTTTTTCATTAGATACATTATTTTTAAAATTAATTTTGCTAAAATATTTTGCCACCCCTGAGACTTGATACCCCCAGGCATTTGCCTATCCGTTCCCCCTTAAATACGGGCCTGATTATAAGTCAAGTATTTTATTTGCATGCGTTATGTATTGATTAAACATCAAAATGTAAGATAGTGTGTTACAATTTTTATTCGATTTCCAAAGCTGGACATTAACGAGTTAAAAAGTTAAAATTAAAATACTTTTAACTAAGATACATAACGAGTTACTTTTTTTTTAAAGTAACTTCTTATTTAATGAGATAAATTATTTTATTGTCTCATTGATTTATTTTCTACCCATAGTTTCTCTATAAAATAATCGCAATTATATCAAAGTGAAAAGAGAAATTTTATGTTTAAATGATTAAAATATTAAAATATAATCATTATTTAACTAAGTAACAGATACTTCAATTCAAAATCGAACTGAAAATCACTCTGGTAATTTATAAAACTATTTTAAATGATTAATTTATAACTATTTATGACGATATGGTAAAATTTACATTATTGTTATATCATTTTCTATCATAATGTATAATCTATATAACGAACTTAAATATACATATCGCATAATATAGGTATTATAATAATAAGCATATAGGTAATCAATACCTCCGTATACCATAGTTCATATTTTTTAATCACTCCAAATAACAGTATATGGTAAGAAGACAAGTCGAAATAAATTCGTTATAAGGATAATGGATGAACAGAATTGGTTAGTAATGTTAATTATTAAAACCGGGCATGTCCCGTTTCCGCCAAAAATCCGGTTCCCTGATTTACGCATAGGTAGCCCTTTTCTGCCGAAAACAAAAAAGGTATGATTCTCGTTTCCGCCAAAATGTATTTTTGTGAAAAGACATTTCCGCCAATTACTATTTGGGAACCATATATAATTTTTACTTATTCTTATCATTATACATTTTAATACAAGTAGATAAATCTGCTTACATGTCATTGGTAATTTTTGACCATCTATATTTTTGAATGAACAATTGTATCCATGATCACCTATAATAAAGGATAGATTAATTTCATTTTTCATAAATAAATAAATAATTAAATAAATAAATATATTTATTTTACTCGTAAATAGAAAACGTACCTTTTGTTTTAAGTATTACTTTTTTTTTTTCAAAATATTAGCCAGGCAATTTTTCATGTAACATCTAACTAAAAACATATTTAAAACCATCAAAAAGCAACATTGTTTTACCTCTTTTGCTTACAAAAAATTCCATTTTAAGAACGGTATTAAGTTTTGTTAGTCTGATGACAAACAGAACAGATACTGAATCGAAATACTAAAAAAAATTTAACATTCATTAGATAATTACTGTGTGCGAATTATAAATAAACTATAATACAGAGTATGCTTCCTTCCATTGTCGAATGTTATCGGTGTATACATTAAAAATGTTTTTGTCTTTTATACATACCACAGCATATATTCAATATTGCTTTAAAATTAAAACCAATGGTTTCCAAACTTTTTTTGGCGGAAACGGAAATCGTACCTTTTTCGTTTTTGACGGAAAAGAGCTATAGCGGAAACGGTCAATATTATTTTGCCGGAAACGGGTAACTCCCCAAGTGCTAACCTTGCTTGCAATAATTTAAGTCCCTCCAAACAAGTTATGTAACTCATCATAAAATGGCGCAACCAGTGGTGTATTGTGGGGGGGGGGGGGGGGTAAGTTTTAGCGATGTTATCAATAAATAAAAACTACTTAATAACAACTAAAGAAATTATTGATGAATTTTAAAAAAAAAAAAGATGTTTACCTTTTTATTATAATTATCTCTTAATTTGTATTTATAATAATAATAATAAAATAATATAATAATTATTCCATACCTTATATATATTTTTTATAATATTATAAAAATATGAAATTGTAGAACACTAAATGAGCGAGAAGGAAGTAATCATGTTTTATATAATATCGCGATAGAGCATTTATTATGAGCAAGAATACTTTGAAAAGAAGTGTATCGTACAGAGATACTTCTAACGTTCTATTGTAGAATATTTAGTGAGGAATAAGAGTTATTTCCATAGAATAAGGTTAAGATAATGAAAGTTAATATACAGCGAAAGGAATTACTAAGCAATGGACACTAATTTAGGAAAAGAGAGAAGAGAGTGTAAAGATGAAATAACTTGAATGTTTCAATAAACGTGTATGGTATGAAACAAAATAAGAAAAATCAGATTATTTACCCATTAAAAGTTGTGAATGAGGAAAAATCAAATCATTATGATCTGCTTTTATTATGTGAGGGTAATAAATCACATCATACGTTTATTTCAAACTCATCAAGACTTATACGTACACAAAAAACTGATCATAAAGAAAAAATTATTTTCTGCAAGAGATGATTCATATCTTTTGATGATAGGACTCATACATTTAAATTAAGTGGACAGGAAGCACTTGATGAACATAAATTAATATGCGGATCACATAAACCAATTTTATCTCAGATGCCTGCGCCCGGGACAGTGTTAGATTTCGATGGGCGGAGTAAGACTCAACGTCATCCGATTGTTATTTACACAAACTTTGAAGCACTTTTAGTAAAATGTAAGGAAAACAAAAGCAAAAAAACGTTAGCTATTCAAAAGCACGAACCAATGAGCTATGGGATATTCGTAAAGACTACAGAAAACTGATAGATCTGTTAGAAAAGTTCAATATACCACAAAAACCGATTATTTTCCGTGGCAATGAATCACACCTAGACGTAGCCAAAAGACTCATTAAAGAAGTTACCGAGGTTGCAAGAAAAGTTGAAGATTTGCGTAAAACAAATAATCCTATAATAATGAACGAAGAAGAACAAAGAACACATGTAATGAAAATTACTTGCGATTTATGTAAGTGTATTTTTTCAATAAAAACCATAAAGTAGCAGATCACTGCCATTTATCAGGGAAATTCAGGCATGCATTATGCAACACATGCAACTTGAAGTTAAAAACACTCAACTTTGTACCATGTTTCATGCATAACTTATCAAATTACGACGCTCATTTTATTATAACGGAACTCGGTTACGATGATAATCCGATCACCGTTATATCGGACACTGAAGAAAAGTTTATTTCATTTTCCAAAGACGTTTCCGACAAGTTCACAATACGGTTTATAGACTCTTGCCGTTTCATGCCTTCAAAACTATCAACACTTGCAGACAATTTAATAACACCTGCGTTCATGAAGTTCAGAGAAATCGTAAAAGCATTCATACCTAGAGATATGGATCTCGTTACACGTAAAGGTGTATACCAAGGGTGCCCAAACCCAGGCCTGTCAACGCTTTTGGATTTGCCCGCCAACATCTATACTCTATAGTCTATGACATTTTAAATTATTATTAATATTTCTTTTAAGTTTAAATTTTGTTGTATATATACGTGTGTGTATCAAATTAGCACTAGGACCATTTCACACAGCAATGTTATCGGGTTTTCTTGTGACGACCGGATGCGTTTTACCCGAACCCGCATTTGTCGCGATGTTAATCGGTATTATTTTTATGTTTATAGATTATCGTGACCGTCCGTCAACGTAGTCGTCGTATATCGGCGAGTTAAGATAATAAATTATTATTCGAAATATTGTACAAATAGCGACCATAATCAGTCGCTCCACACCCGCCTTTTGCTACGGTCGTAAAAATAATACGTATAACTTAATAAATATTAAATTATTTTGTAATAATTGCGTTTATTCTGTGTTTTTACTTGTTAATTTTAAGCCAGAATGGCTCTCAGCAAACCAATTACGTCGAAATTGAAAGACTGTTCTCGGACATTTCACGAAGAATGGGAGATGCAATATTGCTTTACTGAAAGCAAAGCATTGAAGCCCATATGTCTTATTTGCTTCATTACGATTGCCGTCGCCAAAAAATATAATTTAGAACGGCATTTTAAACAAAATCATTCAAGTATTAATAAAAACTACCCGGAAGGAAGTTCTCTAAGAGCTGAGTTTATAAAGAAGAAAAAAAAGGAAATATTTGGTCAGCAGAATCTGTTTGTAAAAAAATTTGTTGAACTCGAATCTATAGTAAAAACATCATATGAGATATCTTTACTTTTAGCCAAAAATAAAAAGCCTTTTTCTGATGGGGAAATTATTAAAGAGGCTTTATCAATTTTTTCTAATAACTGTAATGATAAAAATATAAAAACTAAAGCAGACGGTATTTCACTTTCAAGAAATACTGTAACAAGACGAGTAGAGGAGATGTCAAACGATATTAGCAACCAAATAACACAAACAGTAACGAAATGTAAATATTTTTCATTGGCGTTGGATGAAACTTGTGGTTTGAAGAGTATGTCACAGCTAGCCATCTTCGTGAGGTGTGTTGATGAAAATTTTAATGTATTTCAAGATTTATTAGAGCTCAGCCAGTTGGAAACTACCAGTACCGGAAAAGACATATTTATAAAAATCAAGGAATGTGTCGACAGAGAAGGTATAGTGTGGGAAAAAATTAATTCTGTTTGTACTGATGGAGCACCCGCTATGACGGGAAAAATAAATGGTTGTGTGGCCTTGTTAAAACAGTTCTTAGGCCGAGAATTATTTTCATATCATTGTATCATCCATCAGGAAGCTTTATGTGCCAAAGATATGAAGTTTAATGATGTTATTGATCCTGTAGTACGCTGTATTAATTATATCCGAGCCAAAGCCCTTCATCGAAGACAATTCAGAGTTTTATTTGAAGAAGAAATCAATGAATTCGGTGAGTTACATTTGTATTGTGCTGTTCGCTGGTTATCTAAGGGTGAAATGCTGAAACATTTTTTTTTTTTTTTTGAGAAGAGAGGTCTTGCAATTTTTAGTAGAAAAGCAGGCAATGCCTGATGAACGAGATTTACTTGAAAGTGAATCATGGTTATGCGATCTTGCGTTTTTAATAGATATTACACAGCACCTCAACATACTTAACCGGAAGCTGCAAGGGAAGGACTGTTCGTTACCAATAATGTTCAATTTGGTTTACGGATTTAAAGCGAAACTCTCCTTTTTTTGACAAATTTGACTAGAAATAATATCGATCATTTTCCTACGCTTGTAGATATAAGAGGAAAACTAGAAAATACTTCGCCTGACATCTCGAAATATCAAACACAAATTCAATTATTGTTGCAGTCTTTTGAGAACAGATTTCAGGATTTTGAGAAGGACAAAAATAATATTTTGTTTTTCATGAACCCTTTTTCAATCACTTTTAATGAAATACAAAAATATTCATGCAATATCCAGTTGGAAATCACAGAAATTCAAAATCACGTTTCCTTGAAGCAGATATTTACCGAAATTGTATCATTACAACCACAACTGCAGTCTTCAGAAAATTTATTAAAATTTTGGAAATTAGTACCAAAAGAAGACTATCCTACATTGTGTGATCTTGCCTTGAAGATTTCAAGCAGATTTGGATCAGATTTGTGAAAAAACTTTTTCTACTCTAACCTATGTCAAAAATAAATATCGTAGTTCGTTAACTGCGCCTCATATTTCAGATTTGATGTTGTTATCAACATCAGATTTATCACCAGATATTGAAAAATTATTAGCTAATAAGTCTCTTCATAGGTCTCACTGATGTTTTTTTTAAATATTATTAAAAATTAAAACATGTGAAATTTAAAATGTTGTTTAATTTAAATACCTATTTGTCCTATCTAATTAAGTATCTATTGAAAATAGAATTTTAGATGAGTTATAAGTGTAAGAAAGTCTTGTTCATAACATGGCCCACCAGCTAAATATAATTGCAATTATAGCCCGCTTCCAAAATAAATTGGGCACCCTTGGTGTATACTCTTACGAATATACAGACAGTTAGGAAAAATTAGAAGAAAGAATATTACCATCAAAAGAAAATTTTTATTGCTCATTAACAGAAGAACATTTAGACGATGAGGAATACGAACACGCAAACGCAGTATGGAACCATTTCAAATGCACAACCTTGGGAGAATATTCAGACTTTTATCTTAAAATTGACGTGCTTTCGTGGCTTACGTATTCAAACATTTTTGAGAAATGTGCATTTCTACCTACAATTTAGATCTTGTTTACTACTATACAGCTCCAGCTTTAAGTTTTGACTGTATGTTAAAATATACCAAAGTCAAACTAGAATTGCTCTCTGATTATGAAGCCCCCCTATTTTTCGAAAATTCAATCCACGGTGGTCTCACACAAGCCAGTATGAAGTACGCCAAAGCTAATAATGAAAATACTTCGGATTATGATGAGACGAAACCGAAATCATGGTTAGTCTATCAAGATTTTAATAATTTATATGAATGGGTAATGTCACAATACATGCCATACGGCAGGTTCAAATGGATAGAGCCTACACTAGTTGGTTTGGAAACATTGACAGATACTTCAGATATAGGTAGAATGTATTAAGTGGATATATCGTACCTTCAAGATTTACACGATGAACACAACGACCTTCCATTTTTACCCGAGAATAAAATTCCTCGTGGTTCAAAAGTTAAAAAACTGATGGCTACACTCGATGAAAAAAATTACTATAGAAATTTACAACAGACAATATCAAATGAGTTAATTGTGAAAAAAGTACAAAGAGTTTTAGAATTTAAACAATCGGTATGGCTTGCAAAATACATAAATTTGAACACTAAAATGAGGAAAAAAGCTGTAAACGACTTTGAAAAAGATTTCTTCAAATAATTAAATAATGCAGATTTTGGTAAAACCATGGAATCGATGAGGAAACGTATAAAAATAGAACTATTGTCATGTTCAAAAAGATTGCAAAAACTAATAAATAAAACAACATTCAAACATTACACTACCTATAATGAAAATTTAGCCACCGTCTCGATGGAAAATAAAATAATCAAAATTTGCGAACCGATTTATATCGGTTTTGCAGTGCTTGATATATCTAAATCATTAATTTATGATTATCACTACAACACAATTAAAAAACATTTTGGAAATAACTTCAGACTGATATATATAAGTACGGATACAGATTCTCTTATATATCATATTACAACAGACAACTTTTACGATGACTTGTTTAATAAACCAGGCTTATTAGAGTACGTGGATACCTCCAATCTACCCCATGAACATCCATGCTATACTTCATCACGTAAGAAAATACCTGGTTTGTTTTCCGATGAGACAGATGGACGCACGATGACCGAATTTATAGCCCTACGAGCAAAATCGTACGCATATATTTTGGATAACAAAGAAAAAAATCAAAGTGAAAGGCATTCGAGGTTATTTGGTGAAAAATCATATGACATTCAAAGATCATATAGATTGTCTTTTCACCAACGATGAGAACAAAGTCGAATTTGATCCTTGTAGAGAAAATGTTTCTATCAGATCATACAACCATGAGTTACAAATGATAAAATCCAAGAAATTATATTTCATCAGACAAGATGACAAGCGTGTAATACAACTCAATAGAATAAATACATACGCTCATGGACACTATCGTATACAGCTGACAGATACCGAAGTGTGATTAACTTTTTCCTGTAAATATAGTAGTATTGTATATTATTTCGTATTTGTAAATATTTTCTGTATAATATGATATATTTTGTACTTGGATTTTATAAAATTATGTTGAAATATATAATAAATTGTTTGAAAATATAATTAACGTATTATTTTTTACATGCTTTGATTATCATATCCTTATTTCGATATACATTGAATATAAAACACATATTCATACTTTATTTAATTATTATTATCCAAATCATTACCATGAATATTATATCTAATATATCAATATGATTAATATATATTATTCAGGGTGAAAGTGTAATCATTTTTACAACCTTATTCAGCTAAAGGTAATGTTTTGATCCAAAGCTGTATAAATAGATATGTTCGAAATTTGGGTGATACACAGGCGTGATGCCCGACACTAGTGGTGCATATTATTATCAAAACAAAACAAATTACATTTCTTCAATGCTTAGGGTTTCGTATGATGTTCTTTACACTAGACGCTATATAAAATACACATATGTAACCAGTCGGCGTATAATGTTTAATTTATTTAATAAGAAATTAATTATATCATTGGATTATTTATACATAAATTAAAATATTTGTCACTCATAATCTAATATTAATTAATTTCAAGATGATTTATATAAATAACAAAAACATACATTTAAATCATTACATACTAAGAAATACTCGTAGATATATTATAGAAAAACATCAAATTTTAATCAAAAATACCATATTTTTTAGTGAAAAGTATAAAAATATCATAATTTACATACAATCCTTATAATTTCAACAACAAATCCTTATATTACATGCAAATATATTGCCTGAAAAAAGTAAAATTTAGACAAAAATAACATATTTTAACGAATACATGGATAAAATGGTCATTGTAAAACTAGTATCTAAGTAAAAAATAAATTAGTACATAGGTATATACAATGTAATACGATAAACATAAAAACAATATTAATTTATATTACCTATTTATTGAAAAAAGTTTAATTTATTTTATAAGAAGACCATTAGGATGATTACACACATTTAATTTAATAAATATTTGATCAATGATAAATAAAAACAAATTTTATAAAGTAAATTTATAAAAATTTTTTTAACTGAAATGCGTTTGAATCATTCTACCGGTACAACGGACTATAGGTCATCATGAAAAAGACGTTTCCGAAAAAGAGTTATCGATTTTGATAATACCATAAGAATATTTAAGCATGGATGGAATAATGGCCGTGAACCCATTATCACTCAGAATGTTTGAGTTAAGGTATAGATTACCATTAATAACAGATTTTAACTTAATATTATTTTATTAACGCTAGCGAATTTAATATTAATGATTCCACTGAAGTTGGAAGATAAAAATTTAGCAGCCCTGAGAGGATGCAATTTACCAAGATTTTTTCCCGGATCGATACATTTCACTAAAATCATCACTGGACTAGAGTAGTTGGACGAAAAAAGGAGCAAAGACGGATTGATGTTATCATGAATAGGGATTAGAATTTCCAAAAAAAACTTGAAAAAACACAAATTTTTTCAAAAAAAATTGGGAAAATTAAATTTCATTAAAAATTTCCAGAAAAAAAATGATTTTTGGGGGAAAAAATTATGACTAATAATTCGTAAATAATATTCCAATGATTATAATATTAATCAATTTAAGTACACATGGTAAAATATTATTTATGTACAATATAATAATAATAAAACTCACAATTTTGTTGGTGGGTGACTGGCCTATGCTATGCCTATGCCTTAAATGCTAAACAATAAATACAACAATGACTCCGCAGTGATTAGCGTTCACAATACAATAAAAAAGAATGGCGATTTTCGAATTAGCACTCACACAATAATTTATAATAATATAATGATAATAGACGCGATTCACTCACGTAAAATATATAATAATATAATAATGACCAATGGTGATTTGCACACGTATATAAAAATAATGGACGATAGCACGACGGCACTTCACGCCATACTATATTTTTTTTTTATACACAATATATAATATAATAATAAAGGCTTGTTAAGCGGCAATTCGAGCATGCATAAAATATTCCACGACGGTGGTTCATATGGCTGTAGCCCAGCGGTTCTTAACCATAGGGTCGCGACCCAATTTCGGGTCGCCAATAATTTTAAATGGGTCGGATAAAAATTTAAAACGTTAGTATAATATTTTTATTTTTAAGCCTTATAAATAATAAATGAAACCTCATATACGTTGGTTATCATGGAGAAAAATTTTAACGAGATTTTTTGAATTAAGAACTGAAATAGAAGTATTTTTAAGAGAAAAAAATTCACTGTTATCCATCCATTTTCAAGATATAATTTGGTTGACAAAAGTTGCGTATCTATCAAATATTTTTTCGTTATTAAATGAGTTATATTTGAGTATGCAAAGGCCATTAACTAATATTTTTACATGTTGTAATAAAGATATTAACTACAATCAAAACCAAATCAAGAAACAAGCTTGATGTCGAACCCACGATGCGTATTTCACTTACTAACTCCATAGAAGAACTCTAAATTGATTCATTGGTAAAGCAACATCAAGACCGAGGAAGTCATTAAATTAAAAATTATTTAAAAAACAATACAATATTATTAAAAGAAATGTTTATTTTTAAATATAATGTAATTAATATTATGACGTGTTATGAATATAAGTAATATGAGTAAAAAATGTAATTCAATTAAGAGTACCAAATAGTTATTTTTTATTCTGCCATTGAATATTATTTATAAAAAGGTCGCAGGAAAAATTTGGTAAATATCTTGGGTTGCCACTACACAAAGGTTAAGAACCGATGCTGTAGCCTATTTGCACCCCAGTGTAGTACATTTGCGCCCAGAGGGATGTGGACAAATGCGCCCGAAAGATAAGG